TTAACACGCCTTTTCTCCTCATATTCTCTTTCATCACTTTTCATGTAACACATTCTAAACGCTGTAATCAATACTCTAAAACATACAGAAAATACTTCACGGCTGGTTTGGTTTCCGGATGTTGTCACATGCTACTCTCGTCTGTAAACAATAATGTATTCAAATAAACTGTACTTTCATTTAATATTCTGCATGGTAGTATCTCGACATCTATAGTTGTAGTGTTAAATCAGTAGGTTTCGGTTTACACCACTCCATGTCATTTCGCTACTCAATTCACCTCTTTAGGAAATCGTATATTAGCCACATGCTAAATGCTAACCGTAGATGAAGGATTTTCAGAATAAAAGCTTAACTGCTTGTGCACAAGAATTTCTGGTTTTTCAGTATAAAAGAGCGTTTAAACTGACGGTATGTTTAAGCTACATTATACCATCAAAACATTGATTTTAATTTCTAACACCCCACAACTGGCTGTGTGACACATAGAGAGAAACGTACGGTGTGTGTCGAGTCTAACAGATCAAATGAAGTGGACAGGTAGACCAAACAGAAATGTTTCTTAACTCTTGATCCCAGCAGATAACACGTTTTTGCCATTAAGCCAGAGGAGGATATTCTCATTTGCTCCCTGTCAGAGCTCCCTATTAGATAATTGACTCCTGGAGGGACACAAAAGCGACAAGAAATAAACTGAAAGTGAGGTAGAGGTTTAAATGAATCAAAGTCGGCTTCTGCTTGGCGACATGCGGGAACACGCTGTGGGGTCTTTAGAATTGACGGAGGAGTTGTGAGTGAGAAGGAACCAGCGTGGGATGAATGAACGAGGGCGTGCTCTGAGTTACCAAATTAATTAGGTTTACTGACAATCTGATGCAATATTTTCCAATAACAATGCAATGGGTTTAACCTTTGTGAAGCTTAAAGGGCTTGAGACAGGTGTTGATTCAGCTCTCAGCAATAATGAGATTTGTCGGTGGATATTCTTTCTTTTTTACTCTGTGACATTTTTAGATATTCACATATTCACTACCAATATTACCAGGGCAACAACTAATGGAAATGTAAAACAAAACAGATCGTTCATCAGGTCATTGCTTATTCACAAGACACTTTTTCATTTTAAGTAGTGTTTTGACATATCTTACCCTAGCACATATTATGGAAATGATGGGACAGCCAGCCTCTTAGAAAAGACTGATAACTCAATGACTGTGTAAAACACTGTTCAATATTTAAATGAAAACCAGATATAATGAGATAATTACTACTACTACTACTACTACTGCTAGATAACTGTCCTCTGGCTCCAGCTTCATATATAGTTTGTGGCGTTTGACAGAAAAGAATAAGGATCTTCTAATCTAACTCTCAGCTAGAAATCATATGGCATTTCCCAAATTGGGGCACTTTAACTTTATTCAAATTACCCTACATGCCCCAGAAAGGGTGTCCCAAAAAAACACTAACTGCAAAGTGGGGGGGGGAGGGGGGGTTTCTTCTTTTAATTAGATGGACCTAAATCCATGTTGTGTGACCACCATAGGCGTCGTTACTGTGGACGCTGGGGACATGTCCCCAACACTTTTGGAAATGGATCATTCTGTCCCCACCACTCTGCATTAGGATATGTTGAACATGTACAGTACATTTTCTGATCTTTTTTCACTTTGTCAAAGGTTTATTTGAACACATGTACAATCTGGAGGACTGTTCACACTTTCTGGGTGTATTTCTGGTAATATAATATATTTTAATATTAGTAATTATTGCAGAGAGAATAGTTGAGTTTTTGTTGCCCTGCTCTGTAGCAGCGTAGCATAGTTATTGCACTAGTTAGTATTGTAAGTATACTGTATGTATGTATTGCTTAATGCAGTGTTTTGTTTTATTTGAAAAAAGTGTCCCTATAATTTTTCCAACAAAGTGACACCCATGCATTTCTTTTTTTTATTTTTGTTAACACTTTATTTATTGGTTTTTCCCACACATAACACAATAACAGGAGAACATGCAGAGTGCAGATGCAGGTGCTATACAAAAAATATGCTTTTATGACAAAACAATAATGATTATTATAACATAAAAAGACCATTACAGTAATAGCAATGACACAAATAAACCAAATTACACAATGACATGATAAGACAGAAACAGAAAACCCCTAACACCAGTCCCNTGTGTGTGTGTGTGTGTGTGTGTGTGTGTGTGTGTGTGTGTGTGTGTGTGTGATGAATGATAAATGCTCGAATATTTACACACACACACACACACACACACACACACACACACACACACACACACACACACACACACACACACACACACACACACACAGAACCCAGGGCCATGTGGCCATATCAACACATCTGAGTGTAATCCAGTTAACAGAGTATCCCAAATGACTAAATTAATCAGAGAAAAACTATCTGGCCCATCTCTCTGTACTGCTTTGATGTGCGCACACACACACACACACACACACACACACACACACACACACACACACACACACACACACACACACACACACATTTGGAGGAGGAATCAGTGTGGAACATTGGTCTGACTGAGAAATTACTCTACCTGCTCTGATAGTAAGGCCTCACACCCATAGAGGCCTGTGAGATACTATCATTACAGCGGCACCCCGGGGGCATGGACACAAACACACACACACACACACACACACACACACACACACACACCTCTGTTGTACACAAAAGGGTTGTGAGAGAGATCAAAAAGATGCATTGATTCAGGATTCCAGATAGAGAGCACAATAGCACAAAAAGATCATTCCTGTGTTTCTGTTGCACGTATACAGAGCATGTCTTCACAGGGACATTACTCTTAATTGACGATTTGCTTTTAANACACACACACACACACACACACACACACACACACACACACACACACACACACACACACACACACACACACACACACACACACACACACACACACACCTCTGTTGTACACAAAAGGGTTGTGAGAGAGA